ACCAGTATCAGGATTATCTGCCCCTCGTGATTTAGAGACAGATCTTCTTCGTGACTAGTTTCTTCGAGGAGTTTACAGGCGTCTACGATTATGACGAATATTAAGAAAACGAGTGAGACTCTGACAGATGTCCATAAAGTCATTTTGTGTTGTGTGAAGCCCTCTTTTGACTGTATAGACATCGGCGCTCTGGGCTATCGTGCTCATCAGAATTCAGCCGGCAGATGCAAAGAGTTCGTTTACGGCATTATTTTAAAATGAAACAGCCACCTGCACTTGTTGGGGAAGCTTAGACTAGAGGGGCTGTTTGAAGAGGCCCTCGTCAAAGATCCGTCGACCAATAACCTATCCTATACGTAGCAACGTTTTTGGTGCTGAGCCATTTTGTAGTTCGATGTCGTGGAAATGTTGATGTGATTTTTGTCGGTCGGTTAGGTCTCTTAGTTTCAAGACAGATTTTTAGTGTCATAAGGTCCAGAACCGTCATTGTTAAACGTACTTGGTGTGACGTACCTGTTGAAATCGCGCAGTAGTGCCTTCGCCACTGGGAGGAATTGTGAGTGTGAGTCTCACGCTGTGCTTGTGAAAGTCAGCTTCTTAAGAGTGTATTCAGCTAGTCGGAAGACCTGCTTGAATATCTGGGCTACCTGCTTACGCCATCTAAATATTTCAACATGTTGTCTGTCTTTTTCATTTTGTTTTAATACCTCATCATGTCTGTAAGATCCATTTTGAAGGTTTCGTGTGTGAAAATAACTCCATGCATACATTTGCAACTTGTTCTTAATGATTTAATTAGTTGTACATTATTGCTAGTCTTTTTGATGCCATTTGAGATTGTAACGTTTCATTTCATAACAGCTTTAGCATTTTTCTCTTTTGCTTTCACTGACTTTCTGTGTTTCTTCCCGAACTATATCCATGTTGTTTTAGTTGACATTTAATCTTGGCGGCAGCCATATTGATTGTTTCCTCTTAGATTGTGTTGCTTGTTTTGACTGGGATCGTGCATTTTGGTTGTGAGTTGAAGCACTTTTCCAGAATTGGAAACACTGTGTTATAAAGCACAAAACTATTATCTTTTGAACGGATTTTTACTTGATCTATTCAGAAAGGATAGCATAGGACTTATATTTTGGTGCGTTTGGTAATTTTCTCATATTTCTTAATAATTTGTCTATTTATTGTAATTTAGATCGATTATTGTGGGAACAATTATCGGTTGAAGAATTGAGTGGTAATATTTGTTTAGGTAATAATGTACATTTGTATTTATAATGAAATTAAGAACCGTTGTTACTTCAATCACTTTGTTCTGATTTCGATTGGGCAAACACGCGTCTCTTCTATTCCAGGCAGTTATTCTTCAGCCAAACCTAGTTTGGATCTTATAATGTCTGTTAATCGCATAACTTAGACAGGTGTGTTTATGAAAAGCTTAAGACATTTTGCTTCAAAAAATTTCAAAAAAGTACAATAAGCGACATCGTGGTGGTTGGCAATATGCATTAAAGGGAATGAACATTAATCACATATCGATCCTCAGGCTGCTAAATCCTAAGAAAGTGAACTATCTCCAATTCCTACTAAATCAAAACATGTATCATAATTGTGGTGTCATCACAATTCAAGAATCTTGGTTAATTAATTTACAGGACAATTGCTTAGTATCACTACGTGATTCCAATATCTATCGTCAGGATCGATCAAGCAATAAAAAGAGGTGTGAAGGCATTGTAGCTACGTTTGTAAACGTTAACTGGTGTCGATATACCTTTGCTTGTTTCAAGTTTTCAAATGACTTCACCGACTACCTAACTTTAAGATGCCATCCAAAACACCTGAATAAATACAAATGTGTTTATGTTACCAACATCTACATGACTTCAGACTGTTCATCGTCTGCGCTATCTGTTTTCGCTGACGAATTTACTGAGTTCGCTGGTTCACTTTCAATTGTATGTGATTTCAATTCATGTGACTGCAGCTTCCCTACATCGCTAGGTCGTCAAAATGTAGTACATTTTCCCACTCGTCTGGAAGCTCATTTATACTTCGTTTTCATTAATGATATGGGTATATATGTGAATCGTAAACGTGCTCCATTGTCTAGCCCGGATCACTGTATAATCTGTGTTCTGACTAAAGTTTATGGAAGACATTGAAAAAATAAACCCTAACACCAGACCAAAAAATCATATATAGGAATTACTCAGAAGGAAATATACAGAATCTGAAAAACATGTTTCGTACGACTAACTGTTAATTATTTACGGATAACTCACTAGAAAACACCACTGATGTTATCACCTGTTATCTTAAATTCTGTTTTGATGTTTGTTGTCCTACTGAAACCATTTTCTTAAGTTTCGATCAACTTACATCTCCACAACCAAAACGACTACAGAGTGTAAAAGAAAGAATGTACAAGGCAAAAAACAGTATTGACGTTCGCAAGCTAAATGGTCTATTATAGCCTAGAGTTAAGGCGTCTCAACTCTATGTTTACTCAGAAACTCCTATCTCGTAAGAACTCTCCAAGTATGTGGAGACTATTTAAGTAACTTACATGGGACAGGCAGATTTGAAGCGATAACGAGCTGAATGTTTGTTACTTAAATAAGTCTTTTGTACGCCAGTCATTTGATATCATACACCCTACATCCACATGTTTGGAGAATAATTGTGTTCCGACTTTCACTGAAAATGATGCTCACAAATGTCTCTGGTCACCTAATTCATCCAAATGTTTAGGGCATGTTGGTATCCCAAACCTCCTTTCTAAATATGTGCCGACGTTCTATGTTATCTTTTCACGAATATGTTTAACAATCCCCTCTCAACTAACCTCATACCGAAAATGTGGAGAAACATAAAGATAATCCCTATGTCTAGGAAGGTAATTGATGGTAAAAATATGAAATTTGGATCCACAACAATAACTTAACTTTTCTTCAAAATAATGGAAAATATATTGATACTGCCACTTCAATCTGCAACAAAAGATCACTGTGATCTCTATCAATTTGCATACAGATGCAAAAGAAACATATTAGATGCTACTACTGTTGTGTATCACAATATAGTATTCGGCTAGGAAAAGGGTAAGAAGTATGTTGGATGCGCTTTTATGGACTATACTTCTGCTTTTGATTCTATCCCAAAACAACTTCTACTGGAGAAATTAGTAAGCGTAACACAGACAGCTGGGTAACCAATCGGCTATATTCCTACCTTTCTGGAAGAGAACAGTACATAGTATTTGGAGGAAGGTATTCAACGTCTTTACTGTCTGATGAAGGTGTACCACAAGGGACTATTCTCCCCGTTCTTCTTTTCTGTTTTTCTCTGCATGATCTACCACCTTCCATACAAAAAACACCTTTGTAAAATATGCGGGCGACCCCACTATATGTTTGCCTATTTCTACCTCTTTACATCCCATAGAAATGAACGAGCTTTTGTCTCGTATTGAATAGTGGTCTGTTGGTAGTCGTCTCTTACTTAATCCAACTAAATGTCACGTTGTTAACTTTAACCTGAGATGTGGACAGCACCTAAACACTATCCCATTATACTTGTGCCATTGGGGATTTCTTGATAAAGTGTCGAGGGTCAATTATCTTGGTGACACGTTTTCCTCTAATCCCTCTTGGTTTTCTCATGTTTTATTATTATCGAGAAAAGTTTACCGTTTGACTTACTACGTAAAGAGTCTGCATGCTTTTGGTATTACTCGACATTTACTTTTAAAATATGTCAATTCCTGAATATTACCTATCATTCTTTACTGTTTTACATTCTTTCTTGAACTTTTGAGAAAAAACTCTTCTGTACTGCGGAGAGTGCTAAAGGCAGTCGGCAAGGTGTGTGGTGAATCTTTTCAGGTCATTATTAATATGGTTGTGGAAAGACATCTAAAATCTTGCAAACTCCTGGCAGATGTTGTCTATAAAGTTCTTTAGTACCTTACCCAGTAAATATGCTCTGTGACAAACACGTTGTTAAGGTTTATCTGGTAAATAAACTGTATTTTTAAGCATGTCTCAAATTCGATAAGCCTTACTAACCCAGATTTTTTCTACTTTATTTCTCATTTCTGTTTTCGTTTTTTGGTAAAAAAGCCAGTTGAAAACCTCGTGCTGAGAATTAAATTCTGTACTAACATATAATATTGAATAAAGCCATTATTAATGTTCATAAAATCACTAACTGAAAAGTGGTTGGTGAAAGAGTCTTAAGCTTGAATAACTTAGAAGGGCCTTCCACCACGATGACTACAAAGTATACCAGTGAACGAGAATAAGTACCCGAAAATATGAAAACAATACCGCAATGCGTAAAAATAGCAATTAAGAAATTATATATAATGTTCTGTTGAGGAACGGGCTCAGTTTGCGAAGAGGTGTACCAGATCACGTTAGGCTCACCATTAATAATGCCACAAGTATTCGGAATTTGACAACAACTCTCCACCCAACATCTTTAAAATTAAAGTATGTCAACCCAGTCAAGTCAGAAGTCAGAAATGGAGATGTTCGAAGATACATTTGAATGACTATCGATATACCAAACAGCGTTTAATATAAGCTGACAAACGGTTGTAAGAGATGCGTAGCACGACGCACCTACTGGTGATCTGGTGTGAATGCATAAATGACCTCGTTCAGATAGGTGTGTCCAGTAAAAGTAATGCTGTCAGCATCAAATGTTGAAGATTTACAGAGCTATTTATTTTTAGGGATCTGTTTGCCGCTACACAGCTGTAATAAAATAGAAATAAGATACCTTCGAAGATAGTTTTGTTCATAACTCTCTCAACAGTATGACGTGCATATTGATGTATATGGTGGTTTATCCCAGGTCTCTAGTTTGTTTGAGTGAGTTGGAGTTAAGCACACAGTGGCGGGTATCTTCGCTGCTGGTTTTGTTTGATCGACCGTTCTTCCTGATTGTTAATGTCTAGAATGCATCTATTTCTCGTTTATAATCAGTTATAAATGGATTTACAGACTGTTTATACGGAAGGACATGTCTTCAAAGAGAACAAGTTAAAGTTTGCTAAATATTCGGGGTTTCCCAGATATTCGGAGCTTGTTAATATTCAGAAACAGTATGATCGATCAAAAGATGAGAATGGTTTGTATCCTGCTCGAAATGGAATCCATATTGTTCATAAAAAGAGGAAAGCGGATGACGCTAATCTGCAGATTCACGATGGCTCGTCTGCTCCGAGGTCACACCGTTTGCATGTTCCTTCTTCTCCTAGTGGTCATTTACATGGTCATTTGGGAGCTCATGTTGGCTCGTTTTTACAGCATCAGGCATGTACTTACAACACATCTGATGTCTCTGCAATAAACGCCCCAATAACTGACATCTGCTCAAGTAGCGCTATACAGTTCACTGGTATGAATACGCTGCCGGCTGCAACCACAAAGGCGAACTCGAAGCTAACTACAACTGAAGGTGACTATGCCATAGTTGTTGGGGAGATGCTTAATTCTGGCAGCGAGGCATATGAAGTTCTCTCATTTCTCGGACGAGGGACTTTCGGCCAGGTTGTCAAGTGCCGCTGTCGATCAACGAGCCGCTATGTAGCCATCAAGATATTAAAGAACTTGCCTTCTTACCTAAGGCAAGGTAATATAGAGATTCAAATTTTGCAAACACTGGCTCAACAGGACACAGAGTCTCATAATATTGTCAGGGCGATTGAGTGCTTTCAACATAGGAACCACATGTGTTTCGTATTTGAGTTATTGGACCAAAACTTATATGAGTATCTCAAGTCAAATAAGTTTCGTCCATTGACGCTTCCGGAGATCCGCCCCATTTCTCAGCAGGTGCTCACGGCTCTTTCAAAATTAAAGACTCTTGGTTTAATCCATGCTGATTTGAAACCGGAAAATATAATGTTAGTGAATCCAGGCTCAGAAAACATGCGTTACAGAGTCAAAGTAATTGACTTCGGTTCTGCATGCCATAGTTCCAAAGCTGTTCAAAACACTTACCTTCAATCACGTTACTATCGTGCTCCTGAGATCCTTCTGGGCTTACCTTTTGATGAAGCAATTGATATGTGGTCATTGGGATGTGTTTTAGCTGAGCTGTTCCTCGGCTGGCCTTTATATCCTGGTTCATCTGAATATGATCAAGTGAGTTCTAAACCGATTGTATTTCTTTCAAGTATTAGTTTGAGAATTCTCTCATCAAACATACCGAGCACGTCATGACGCTGGAATGCTTATAGCGTGTTAAGGTTGTCGCAGACTACATGCGTTAGCTGTCTAAACCTTGTGTTTGTATATTTTTAAAAAAACTTCGTACCGTAATGATTATCGAAGGACTCATACAACACCCTTAAATCTATTGTTGAAGGGGAATAATATTCTTCTGTGGTACATCTTTTACGTGGAACATTGGCGTTGTAATTGGAGCTTACACCCAAAACATCGCGGGTTCTAATAGCAGCTTATTCCGGTTTAGGTGCCTGGATAGTGTTACTAGCTCAATAAGTTTACGGTTCGAAATACAGTAGTAAAACAAATACCTAGTAAATGTTATGTACCCTGGTACGTAAACATGTACTTGAGTATCGACTTACATAGATTAAGGATGAATTACTTGTTCGTTTAGTGACCAGAAGTTTGGATTCTGAAGATAAGTTATCAGGACCCCAAAGTTCGGTTTTTGTAAGTCTCCAATTTATAATCTTGTGAGTATCATGGAGTCTTTGTAAATTGATTAGTGTTTATTTTTCTATCTGGGGTGATGTACTCATAAAAATTTGAAATTCTGGGATTTTAGGTGGGTGTGATTTTAATCAAATGAAGTATAGAGATGTGATAGATAGCGTAACCTGTTTACTAGTTGAGCATTTTCGTACCGTTTTGAGCTATATTTATTTGTGGTCCAGTGACACTAACGGAGTACCCAAATAGTAGTCATTTTCTACATGATGATGGGAATTATGACGAATTGGGTCGATGCGATTTTGTGTTAGATCCATTGTTTATTGGTTACTGCTATTGTCACGTAATGTATTTTGTCGTTTTCCTCAAACTGCTGTATGCCGTTCGCGTTTGCTTCGAACATCATTGCATCACTATACTTGGTTGCTAAGTCATTATTTACTGCCGGTCTCGATAATAATTCTGCTCGTTCGTTAGATAAATCCTTCGATGTTGCGAAAAATATTTGGGTAGCTTTTTAGCTTTGCAAGTTCCGTACTTTATACCAACTGGCTTCTAAGTTCACAACAATTTAAGGTGACGTTAGTCTTTTGGGAATAGAATTTCATTCCTATATAGTGTCACTATATATTAATAAAGGTATATGTGACTTGTATAATTTAGAAAATACTAGTAAGTTATGTATTTCTAAAATTAGCGGTTCTTCGCTATCTGCATCTGAGTAGCAGATATAGTCTAAGCGTTCCACACTAGTTATATTTTAAATTTCTGAACTGTTTATACACGAATTTCCATTCCTACTGATATAACGCCTAAAGGCTTGATAGTGAGTTCTTAATTGACCGGAGTCATCTACAAGCTAATTCCCTCCAATGACCTATGACATTTTATCACGTTTATTATATGTGCATATTCAGTATGTAAGAATGCTTTTTTACTACATGGAAATTTATCTAGATAGTGGCCTTGTATGATTACTGATCATTTGGCAACTTATGTCAGCAATAAGGTTTCGTGAATAGCCATCTTCCGACCACATAACGTTGTATTCATCTGTCGATTAGCATTCTATTCTTTAGTTTTAACTACCTGAAATCTCGTCTAATAAAATCACAGAAAACCACTGATCACCAATGTGAGTGTAGTTCGTTTAACGTTGATTAGCTCACAGTACATGAGAGCATAAGTTACCTATCAGTTTAAAAAAACACCATTGTGACTTCATTGAAACTAATGTACATTATCCATTTTGATTACTTCACAAACGTCTCGAAGACTCGTCGTAAAAAGTTCTTTTATCAGAGTAGCTACATGATTTTCGAGTAAATTTGCAGTATGTCCTTTACTGAACACGATTTTGTTCGAGTACAAGTCTTTCATGACATAGAATGTTATTTAAATGGGTCACAGTATTGTCAGTGGTTGCTGACTCGTGAAATACGACAAGCAGTATTGTCGACTACTGTTTCCTTGAATCAGTCCTATGGACTAACTAGAACTCCCAATTTCAAGCTATTTCATCGCGATTGGCTACTGTGTATTAAGCTGTAGGTCCTGAAAAATTTCTTACGGTCATCCGAGTTTGGTAACTGCTGTTAATGCGTACTAGACTTCGTTCTTTTCAACATTAGAAAACTCAACACCCGGTTGTATTTTTGTGATTACAAACTTTAGTAGATAGGCTTGCATAGCTAAAATTTAAAGTATCAGTTACTCCGGAAATCTTGAGTTCTAAGAATAATGAGGTGCTAGTCAGTAATATGCTGTGTAGTATGTAGCACTTGTGGGCATCGGTTCTAATTGCCACACATCAGCAAGGCAAAACTATCAGGAGGATTATGGAACTACTGGAAGTATTAGATAAGTCAGTGGTAGTGGAAGAAAGGCTTAGGTTATAAAAGGAAAAAAAATAAGGTGATTTCAAGAATCAGTATTTGCTGAAAGACCAAAACAGTACATCCACGCCGTTGTGATCGGTTTTGAGCCATGTCATCTAAAGCCTCGAACCTTTGGTTGCAGTAATTACACGGGCCCCAACCAGGTAGTTTGCACTTATCTGCACTTCTCACTCCACTTGCCATTAACTTTACGAATTGATGCCACATTTTGGTTTGACCAACCCGAGCTTTCTTTTATTCTACTGAACCAGACAACTCGAGGTAACTGGTGGATTTACATAGGTAATACATGTTCTAATCACTTCGACTGATCAAGATATACTACTTCACCAACCTACTCGTCATCCTGCCTCAGTATTCATTATCGGTGGAAGCATTCACTTTCAACCAGACAGTGACTGGAGATCGTTTAGATAGGACAGATTTTCCACCAAGAGCGAGCTGATGCATAAGTTGAAGAGTAAGGTTACACAAATTGGGGGTAAAAGGGGGTGAATTAGCGATATGGTAAGTAATAATAATAATAACAATAATAATAATAATAATAATAGTAATAATAATAATAATGATAATAATAACGTAAATTGTCTTGCTTATAATATGAGCAGGAATAGAATCGTCAATAGAGTTCGTCATTTCATTCATTTGTGTGTGGGCTGTGATACTGCCCGGGTGCCCAAACCGAAGCAGGTGGTTTTCTTAGGGGGCCACACCCGGAGCCTTTGACCTAAAGGTCTGATCCACAAGGCAGTGGAGCATCGTGAGGAGATGCAGTCCCATGGTAGTCGTTGACCAATGACAGGTTCTTCCGCCATTCGTTCCATCAGGAAACTGGAGCCCATGTGCACCATTGGTTTGGAATCAGGGTTTTCCAACTCCCCTAGGTGGACCCTCCGTGTCCACCAATCCGGTTATAGCGCCGGACATTCGCTTTTCGTCCTCTCACTTTCGTAAACAACACCCCCGCCACGAGAAGGCAGTGAGTAGGACTTCCCTGGCAGAGGCTATATATTCGCTGGCCATATGAGAGCATTTCGAGAGGGAGAGTAGACTCTCCCCACTCTCGGCCGTACCAGGGCATTTGGGGGCCGACCCTGGGACTGGTTGGAAAAAGCGGAGAGGAGGTCAGTGTATGACATGGTGTCGTGGCATGAAAGAGAGCTGCAAAGGGCTAGCTTCTGTTGGTCCTTCACGAATCCTTGGTTGGGGTCCGAGAGATGGTGCAACACAGTGGCTAGAGACGTTATCAGATATGGCTCAGAATAGAAACCAGTGGCGATCCTGCTGCAACCTTCTTTTACTTTCTACATAAAGTATGGTTCTTACTTTCCTATTTGAAAGAGTCTTCTGGTTGTACATTTTAGTCCGCCTTATCTTTTCATCCCTTCTCTTCCTACTTTCATTATTTTGTGTGGCGCATATGTACCTGGTGCCCTTTTGTACCAATATATATGTGTTTAAATAAATAAATAAAACTCGTCATCCTTACCAAGTACCCTATTCCTAACCTCAGTATTAGTCACTTGGTAGTACGTTGATGTTTACTAATTTTTGCTTGGGAATGTTTAGTTAGACTTGGCAGTAAAATTTGTATCTATTCTCATACATTTTATAATAGCAAATTTAGTACTTTTATAGTATGACATCATCGCTAAATTCTTTGATTTACTTTGACGTTTCCAAATTTAGATGAGATACATAGTAGAGACTCAAGGTTTGCCCCCTTCTGATATGTTAAAAAACGCTGGGAAATGCAACACATTTTTTGTACGTGATCATTATCGATGTGATTGGCGGTTAAAAAATCCGGAAGAATATGCTTCTGAAACTGGTCAGCAAGCTAAAGAGGCTAGGAAATATTTTTTTAATTCTCTGAATCAAATCCGTGATGTAAATGGACATTCTGCGTCTGATGAATCAGATCTTGATATTGTCGATCGCCAGCAATTTACTTATCTTTTAACGGAGATGCTAAAAATGCGTCCATGTGATCGAATAACACCTGATATAGCCCTTCAACATTCGTTCGTAACTATGACTCACCTTCACTGTCAGCCTTTCGCCAAACGGTAAGTTTGTCTTTTGTTCATTGTAACGGTAATAGTTGTCGCAAGTATATTTTACTATGTACAAGCATTAGTGTTTAAATCTTTTCAGCGTCAAGATAATAACATAAACTATTTGTTAGGATGTAAGTTAATCAATCTGTACTGTTACCATCGACAAACACCAATCAAATGATTACTACTGGAAAAATTACTCTTACTTCAACTTTCGTTCAGACAAATCATATTCACAATCATTTGGTATCATTCGTTTTTGTTTCTTTTGTACGACGTTACATATCTACTCCCTTTTATTTTCATTTCGTTTACTTTATTTTTCAACTTATGCAGCCGCTCGCTTATGATGGAAATCCTGTCCGATCTAAACGGTCTTAAGTCACTGACTAGTCAGAAGTTGAGTGCTACCACCGACTACGAGTACTGAACCAGTTTTTCTGAAACCACGTGTGCCATTCAAACTGTTCTCCTTCCACGTTCACATACTAATGCGTATTTGACAACATATAAGGTTGGCTGTGTCATTTGAAAATCCCAACATCAGTGTCTGTTGTCTATCCAGGGCCCGCATTTAAAACCTTGTTAAAGCACTATGAATTCGCTTCCCATCCGTCACTTCGGAAAGCTTGTTTCACGTGCATTTATCCGGGGACCCTGTGTCATCGTCTGGCTCTGTTGGTGTTGGTATCTAACTAAGCTCTAGAACTGAGGCAGTACTAATCAACTGAATCCGCATGTACAGTTGATCATGTACTGCTAAATCAGAAAGTTTTATCAAAATAAGGAGAAATCAGTGTGAGAAACGATGCCTTTTCGTCATTTCCTCTTACGATACGACAGACTCCAAACCGGATACCAGTCAGTCAGTCATAACTTAGAACTTCGTACGTACGTACACCAATTCTAGTTGCCATATCACATTAGCACGGAGATACAGTTGTCGATTCAAATCCCATAGTGGTATAAGTAGTAAGAGTATAAGCAGTAATCGGAAAGATTAGGGTTTGAAGATGATATTCAAGGAGTATAATCCAGTGAAATAAATTTGGAGAGAGAAAAAAGAAAGGGACATGACGAATTTAGAAGATTAGAATTTGGGAAAACACAAAGAGTGGATGCACCTGAGCCATTGCTTAGATTTGGAGCCATGTCATTTAAGGTCTCTAACTATCGGTTGCTAACATCTCGCGGATCCCAACCAGGTAGTCTACACCTACCAACATAGCTCAGTCTACTTGTCAGTGACCGTGGATTTGTGCCACGTTTTGGTCTGACCGCCACTAGCTTTCTTCCAACCTACTCCTACACCATAAACATCGCACGTCAGGGCAGTCGGTGGTTGGGTATATGTAATACGTGTCCCAGCCATCTCAACTGATGAGGTTTCACTACTTCATCAATCGATTTGCCATCCTTACCTAGTACCCGTTTCCTAACAACTGCATCACTTACTCGGTGGTCCCAGGATATACGAGTAATGCTTCGAAGACACCTATGATCGAATACTAGCAGCCTACGAATATCTTCTATTCTTACCGGCCATGTTTCACTGCCACAAAGTAGTGCGGAACGAATTGCTGCACAGTAAACCCGTCCCTTAATTGATAAACAGATAGACGCAAGTTGGCAAAAGCTAAACGAGTCTTCTGTATCCGTGCTGAGATTTCGCCATACACCAGACTATAAGGGCTGATGAGACTCCCAAGATAAGTGAAGCGCTCGACACGCTCAACTACTTCACTCCCTATCATTATTTCAGGTTGCGATGCAACCCAATCTTGAAGTACTATTTTGCATTTCGAGGGGGAGAATCGCACCCCGATCATACCTGCATTGTTGCTTATAGTGGTCAGAAGACTCTGCATTTTGTCAGCGTCTTCACCGAGTAAAACTATATCATCGGTGTATTCTAAGTCAACAAGTGAGTCTCCTGGTAGAAGTTCAACCGCTCTAAATTTGGATGAGGGAAGTGTTATTTCTAATAGCAGTCAGTCAGTCAGCTACAACGTTAGACCAGGCACATATATGCATCAGTCATAGTTGCCATACCTCATTAGCACAAGATGAACACCGAATTCATAGTAGGTAATTTAGTGGTGGTAATATATAAAATAAAGGTTTATATAAGGATATAGTAAGGAAGAAAGACAGATATCAAGCAATTTTAATCTCGAGGTTTAAAGGAAGACAGAAAGTGTACACACCGACGCCATTGTGATCGATTCTGAGTCATGTCACTTAGAGTCTCCGACCATTGGTTACGATAGTTGCGCAGACCCCAACCAAGTTGTCTGCGTCTGCCAACATGGCTCAGACTAGAAGTTAGTGACTTCAAGCTCTGATGCCACGTTTTGGTTTGGCCACCTCTAACTTTCTTCCAACCATCCCCTATACTAGTCAGCATTGCACGTCGTGGTAATCGGTGTTCAGGTATACGTAACACGTGGCCCAACCGTCTCAGTTGATGAAGATTTACAACCTCACCAACTGATTTATCATCATTCCTTAATACCCTTTGTCTAATCTCACTATTACTTACTCGGTGATCCCAGCAGATGCGAGCAATATTTCTAAGGCATCTGTGGTTAAATACTAGTAACTTACGAGTATCTTCTACTCTTAAAGGCCATCTTTCGCAGCCGTAAAGTAGAACAGAGCGAACTGTTGTGGAATATACTCGTCCCTTAATTGATAGATGGATATCTCGTCTCCGCCATAGGTGACGTAAGTTGGCAAAAGCCAAACGGGCTTTTTGAATCCGTGCTGAGATTTCGTCAAACACCAACCCATTAGGGCTGATCAGACTTCCAAGATAAGTGAAGTTGTCGACGCGTTCGACCACTTCACTCCCTATCCTTAGTTCAGGTGTCGACGCGGGCCAGTCCTGAAACAACAATTTACATTTAGAGGGGGAGAAACGCATTCCAAGTATCCTGACATTGTTACTCAGTGCTAACAGAAGATTCTGCATTTTATCAGCGTCTTCACCAAATAGAGCTGTCATCTGCGTATTTCTAATAGCACGTCTACGATAAAGTTAAACAAGAATGAAGAGAGTGTACAGCCCTGACGAATACCACTTGAGGTAATTAATTCTGATGACAGTTCGCCATACGCTCTAACTCGACCAGTTGTGTTCGAGTAGGGAGTACCTGTATGTGCGTCTATGTTCTAAGACCTGACGTAAAGTGAATAACTGGTCTTCACAATCACGTCCAGGTCGAAAACCAGCCTGGTTCTCTCTAGTCTGCTCTTCACGAGCTTAAGATAGGCGTCGAAGTGTTATTGAAGCTAACATTTTAGACACTAAGTTCTACTTTATGGATGTGAAACAGCCGTTAAGAATAGTAGAGAATATTCATAGGTTACTGGTATTCCATCATTAGTGTCTACGAATCATAGCCCGTTTATTGTGGGGCCACGAAGTAAGCAATGTCTGGGATAGAAAGAGAATATTATAAAAAGAGAGGTTGGTGGGTGAAGTAGTAAGACGTCATCAACTGAGGTGGTTGTGACATGTTACGAACGTTTATCCGCCACCTACCTCAACGGGCGATGCTTTCTAGTGAAGTAGGCTGGAAGAGTGCTGCCGAACCAAAACACGACATCAGCTCATGAGGTCTCTGACAATTAAACTTGACCTTGTCAATAGATGTAAACAAGCTGGTTTGCGTCCGCGTGATTATCCTAACTAACGGTTAGACTATGAATGAAGTGTCTCGAAATTGTTTGCAATAGTACAGGTGGATCTAATCTTTGTCTTCCTTTAAGTCTTACGATTCTAAATTCATAATACTTTTTGTTTTCATTTCGCTAATTTACATTTTCTTTTTCTACGATGCCTAATCCTTGCTATTATCACTAATACTGATACTACCTACTATTTTAGAATTTGACCTTACAACTTCATCTCTGTGCTAATGTGGTATGATAACTTGAATTGATGTGTGTGCGTACGGGTTCTACGTTGTGACTGACTGAAAGTTTATTGTAAAGTTGCATCAGTAAAAACCAGGTAATAGAGATATTGGCAACTTAGTTGCTGATAGTTGTCTCATTAGATAGTTTATGTCTGTATCTCAATGTGCTACTTTATATTTCTTAAATTATATTTTGAAATTTTGTTTTGTTACTTTTATAGAACCCAAGAATCTCTCACACTGATGCAGGTTTGTCATGGTAGTTCACGTAGGCAGCATGCAACTGATATTAATTCCCATTCGAAGTGTACGCCATTACCACAGAAGGTTGTTAGCACTTTTCCAGAGACTCTTCACTATGTTACTTCGAATATTATTGATACTCGAACTGCATTACCTACACAAATTAACAGCCACCCATATCCTCAGGCTAATCACTCATCTAACTGTCGGGCTGATGCTAGAGCTGCTTACTATGCCGCAGCAGCAGCAGCGGCTGCGTTTTCAGCGAAATCAACTTCACAGCTTATTCCAATTTCTAGTAATACTTCATCCAGCTTTCCATGCTTGCATCAGTACTCTTCACTGGGTGCTATCAATGAAACTAATCATGTGTCTCTTCCTGCCACAGAATCTGGAAAAGTATGTCCAGTCATTGAATGTACTCCTGCAACTATAATTATTTCTCAGAACAAATCTGAAGTTTGTGTGAGACCCACTCAAATAACTGCAGATAATTTACCGGCAACATATACTTCTCCAATGCAACGTTCTCTTTCGTTCTACGACTTGGTAACTGCTGGTGGTGCTGGTAGTGCATTATCCCTACTAAATGCTGTCACTGCACCTGCACCATCGCCATTTTTGATTAGTAGCTCCGTTCCAACTCCAAGAGTGCAGCCACTGAGTTCTGTCTCGACAAACACTTCTCAAACAAACCATATCCAACAAATGCTTCATCATCCTCTCCACTCTGTTTATATTCAACCTGAACTCAGCAGGTTATCTGAAGGTGACAATTCATTCATGTTGGATATTGTAGGTCGAGAAAAAGGTAATGGGGCTTGTACTGCTCGTCAAGAGTCCATTGATGTGACGTGTAAACCAAATACTGGTTTATGTGATACTCTGTGTGCTTTAGTAAATCAGCAACATTTATATCAATATCCTGCAACTGCTGTCGCGGCCTTAGCTGTAGCTCATCACCAGCAAAATTTCAACAATAATCAAAAACATCCCTCTACTTTATTTAAGTCCACCCGCAGCAGTGGATCTGATTTTGTTAACAATATTTCCAGAAGATGTGAGTGTCATGGAGCTTGTCCATCACATTTAGTGAAAGGTCCATTGATCAATTCGAGAATCAATGAAATAGTTCGACCGAACCTTAATTGTTCTGTAAGTGTTATTGTGTTTTGAGTTAATTACTCATTATAAGTTTTTTGATGATTACTTTTACTCTAGGCATCTGTTTGTTTATGTGGTCATACCTTTGTTCAATTTTGAATTAAATGTAGATCTTTTTTCTTAAAAATGTTAATATTTGATTGATTTAAAAACTCCGAAAACCGCTCTACTCATCCCAATGTATAAGTTATGGTTAACATTAAAGCAAACGAATACAATTTTCAAGGTACGAGATCATATAATACTAACGGAAGTTGAAAGTTTCTGATTTCGTGATATCTCACATAACTAATTGTCAATAAAAGAATGATTGTGTTTATTACTCGATATGGTTGACAAGTTGGTTCATCGACTTTCGAGATCTGAACGTTATAAGGATTGATAATAGAATTTTGTCGCTTATTCGTGTCTTCCAGAAAGTTTTCGAGCTGAATTTTTGTATGTAGATTCATATAAGTTGGATAACGGTGAACATTTGAAGCCATGAAAATTTATTGAGTCACTGATTTGAATTTATCTGGTGCCCCTTAAAATGTTTCATGTTGATTGGCTCAGTGATGATCTGTGATGTAACAAAACCTACCAAACCATAGTCATACTTATATTGTGTTGCTACTATATCTGGTCATGTTTAGGTGACAAAGACGAAACTTTACAATCCATTAAATATATACAAGCATGTCGCACTACACTATGAGCTAGTTAGAAACTACTAAATACTAAAGAAAACTCACAATACATTAATCACATGCTCAATTGTACTTTTAACATAGATATCATAAGTATGATCATTCCTGTGGAATGTACTAGTACACTGATTAGACGTTGACTTATACTATGAAAACGACAAGGTAAAACGCAACCGAATAAAAAATAAATCGGACAAACCTTGAGACGGACATATCACATGATTCCTTTTTGTCATAATCAAATAGTAATAAATTCACAAAGTCAAAAAGTATTTAGCCCATGTTTTACGTTACCTATGCAACTGCTATCAAGAGATAGGTCTACTTCTAATTGGGTCCAAACTATCGGCTTCCGCCATAGTTCATAAATTGTTTAGAACCCGTTAAAAATTGACTCGTGAGGAGCAGTCTGATTTTCGTTCTGGTTGTGGATGTATTGGCCATCTTTTCACCCTAGAATAAATGTTAGAACACCTCCATCATTATTGAAGTCCAACAATTTTCACGTTTCTTGCTATCAATCTGTCTTAGATCCGTCAAACAAGACTATTCTCTGCAATTGTCTATTCAAGAATTATGTTCTTGAAAAGTTTATTTATCAGTTGGCATTCTTTGTCCGTAGTTATGGCATATTTTTTGCACCTAGGTTCAAAGTAATTTTACAAAACTGAAAGGAGTTTGTTCGTGCACTCGTTAAATTTAGTTGAACACTCTATATTTTGTTAACTCCGTAAATAATAGCTGTAGCCTGAGTTATGAGACCTGTTGACATATAATGAATGTCAGAGCGGTTTGTGCTAATCTCGCCTATCTTGGCACTGTCGTAACGTAAGTTTGGGTGAAATTATTGTATTTAAGACATGCCAGTTACATCAATTTTCTGTATGCTTGTGAAATTCCATCTACAATATTCTGTGTTTGATCATCGTTTTCTTCAAATAATTGTTGATGTTTGGTGGCAATACCATTTTAGTAGTACTGAAGTTCGTGACCAAGTATTATGCAACTTGATTGTTTGTCCTCCTATTTTAAGTTTGTGAATATTAATTTCTGTTGTCCTACTACTGGCATAGTTTTTTTCTGTAAGTTTATTCGATATAACTATGAATGGTAACTTTCTGTATTTTAAATGGTATTGCGTTTTCTCTTAAATCTACGTTTATCCAACTGCTCCTATTAATTGTATTTCTTGAAGCGTGCTCCAATGTATGAAGTTCATGGATCAGTAACTCAACAGTCTCTGTCACGCCAGGACTCTACTTCATTTCATTATCAAGATCAACAACCTCATTTAGTCAGCCATAGTGATGTCCACAAACATTCTGTTGCTCAAGTCCAATCGAACAATCCTTTTGTGAACGATACAGATTGCATGCCTATGAATTTAGTAACAAACAACTCAGAACCAGCTGTAAATAATGCTGTCAACTTGTCAATGCTTCCTCCAAGTATGTTTAAATGTTATTTTGTCATCGAAAACTGAGAATTAAGTGTCCTCAGTGAATTATTAAATGCCGATTTTCTGCGTCTTTTTTTCCACAATTATTTTGATAAGAACATGAAGTCACATAATGTTGACTGAGGAAGTTACTTTTAAACTGACTGATTTTGGTTTAAAGATGATAAGTAGTTATCATTCAACAAATTCCAAAGATTTGTTTACTGTTTGTTTGTTTTTAATTAACCACCAATTATCTCCACATTTGCTGTATGTGTGTTTTTAGTAACATTTATGTGGTTCTTATGTAGAAGAATTGTGTTGAGTATAATCTTATCACATTAATGTTTTTGTTTTTGTTTTTTATTAGGTTCTTCGTATAACTCTAATCGCATGAAACGTCAGTCTGTCGCCATAAATCCTAGTTCTGAGAGTGTAGATAGGATTTCTCATAGTTTAGTTCAACATGATACGTTCAGTTGTCCTTCAGAAATTATATCAAATCCTAATGCAATCAAATCGGATTGCGGATTTTCGGGGTATGTTTAAAAATGTGTATAGAATATTTAAAGAGATTTGTGGAACTTAGTGATCTCTACATAGTTTTCTTCAGAAACAGTTTCTGGTTCAATTAATGTTATCAAATTATGAAATGCATAATTACTACGTTAAAAATTACTCATAGATGAGTTGTGATAGCTAGTTGATTTGAACGCCTAAATAGGAAGACCAAACCGAACTGAACGATACATAGATGAGTCTTTAGATGTCTCAAACCAGGAGACAGTTACTATCTGATGCTTTTATGCTAAGTCGACTGTTTATTTCTAAAAACCACCAGACTTAAGAATAAGGAGTGGCTATTAGACGACTAGGCTCACGGTAATCTCTAGTCAAGAAGGATTGAAATCCTAATATTAACGGGACTCAATAGACTGGATGACTGATATACGACACTTTATCAATAATCTCCAGGACGATAAAAGACAACAAATAGTTAGGAATGTGCTATTGAGAAAACAAGTGTGACGGAGAACAACTCCGTATACATCGCAGTAAATAAACGAAATTCGGTTATTTATTTACTCTGAAGAAAGTGGCCCACGTTAAGTTACTAAACGTCAAATACCCACTTACTGACTGTTTTTTTGAGATAGTTTTGCAAGTTTAAACTTCCATTTTTTCGCGGTTGGAATTGTCACTTTCGTATTAGTAAGCTTCTAACTCGTTTTCAAGATCTCTCCGCATTTATTAACTTGGATCAATCATTTTGGTATCTGCCCATTACTATATTTTACAGAATTGTCTTTTGAGTAGCCTTGGTTAGTAAAGAAAGAGTAATTTTTGTATCCGAGTATTTAAATCATCGCTAGGACACGTCACCATTGGGTTAGGAAACATTACGTCCAGGCTTTTCTGAACCAACAAAAAATAACTTTGTGTCAATTAATACACGTCTACCAGCTTTTGTGCCGCTAATGGTTTCGTGTATTCAACTCAAGTTGTTTGTTTTTTAACGGTTCGAAACGCTAATAAAAACATCGTCACTGATGTCTATAGCTGTGCTTAGTTGTTCCAACCATTTAATTCGGCAGCCAATTTACTATTTTTTGTAACGTTCTTCAAACTACGACTTATGTAGATTAAAAGTGTTCCTATTGTAAATCCAAATTCGAAGTAAAATGGCGTCAGAAAAATGAACTGAGAGATGTCTGTTTAAGCTGTCTGACCATCACTTCACGTATAGCATAAATTAGTTACTGTTACGAGTAAATAACTTTTTTAATTTGTTTAAAGTTGTAAATTATTCTGTGAATATATCTTGTAAATTATCCTAGGGCGTACAAGTCAACCTTCGATTTGATGTGCCAACAGCGTTCTGATAAAAAAAGTAGGTTCATTTTCATGGTTATTTTTAATATCTTGATGTGAACACGTAGCTTTATGATCACATATAAACTGTGAATATGATTTTTAACGATAATAATGGCTAGCTAAGTTTATACGTTCTGATTGACTTTGCTACGTGAATCCCAGAGTCCTACTCAGGCGTATCGTAATTTTGATGTGAGTAGAGTTACTTTATCCTTGCACCATAAGTTAATTAAGCATTCACTTCCTTTTGTTTTGGGTTATGAATTTCGGTTTCAATGTAGTTTTCGTATAATAGATGTAATCTATTGTTTACTTCTTGGCAGTTAGGGAATTGTTAGTGTAGACACTGGTATCGTTTTCGGTTTTTATATCTATTCAAAAAGTTAAGTTAAGAGATATAGTTCCAACAACTATCTGAACCTGAAATTAAACATATACTAACAAAAAATTTACTAAATTGTCTTGAACAATGGTGGAAAACGAAAAGCCGGTCTCCATAATGAATGCTTGGTAACTTTTCCGACTCATCTCAGGAACATTTACTAGAAAGTCGTCTACCATTGATCTTATTCCCGAAAAAGATGAAGTCGTGATTTGCTCACTTTTGTGACAGCTATAAAATAATCAGTCTGACCAATAGTGTTTAAAATATTCTAAATAGGGCTCAGCTACAGTAAACCTGGGATAAACAAGGTAATTTTAGACCTGATTGAAGATATTGAATAAATCTTCACCCTTGGGCATGTTGTAGAACAAATGTGCAAACCGATGGTCGACTGTAATATCCCTTGAAGCGAAGGCTTCATTAAACCATGTTGACCGAGTTGTGTTTCGGCAATGTTTTTCTCTGGAAGATGTACCGAGAAGTACGTAAACCTTCTGAAGGTTATTTACCCGAACGTACCATCATTCTTGTTTATTGTTGTGTTAGATATCCTAATAGAAAGTACAATTTCTTCACCTACCTTTCTGAGATCATTATCACAAGGGGGTTTTGTGGAGATATTAGTAATTTTATATAGTTAAGATCATGAGTCAATTGAAGCTAGACCACCGTGGAAAACCTGTTAGAGTTCTAGTGAGAAGTCGTGGCCAGTGGAGCTAATCCATGTCAGGTAGAGACAGGTATCTACCTCAGTACAGTGGAAGTTGGTCGCGCAATTTCGTGGATTGGTTGAGGTTAGACATTAACACCGTTGGATGCCGGCTCAGTGGTCTGTCGGTTAAGTGCTCTGGCGCGAGACTGATAGGTCCTGGGTTCGAATCCCGCGAGGCGGGGTCGTGGATGCGCACTGCTAAGGAGTCCCGCTGTAGGACAAAACGGCCGTCCAGTGCTTCCAGGTTTCCCACGGTGGTCTAGCTTCAATTGACTCTTGATCTTAACTATATAAAAATTTCTGAGATCAGTTTATTTTCTAAAAATTATATGACGTAAAACATGTTCTGTTCAATGAAGAAACGTTGACAAAATGCAGTTTTCTAAGTCTTGAAAAAGTGTACGCCATTTCTTCCACTTTTAAAATTTCAACTAATCTTCGGTTCATTTGTTATATATATCTGACCACCATTTCTCATGACACGAAATGCAGTCTGACATATAAATAGGTTTTAAAAAAGCTAATTGTGTGTAAGTGTAAACTGCGTAGTTGGGATCCACTCTTTTACTGGGGTCATTGATTGAAGATACTGTGTGATATAGTTATGAGTCACTAGTTGTGGTACGGATACATTCATTTTTTGATAGACTTCACACTGACTGATAAACTGTTGTCGTGATCATTACTATCTACGTAATAAATTATGCACCTAGTTACGGAACTTCTATAGACAATAGAGATTCATACAGTTATTTTCCTCTGACACTGAATTCGTTTTGGATTTTGACAGTTATCAGCCCACTGTTATATTGATATTTCCAAATCCTATCTAAAAAGTTTCTATCATATACAAATAATGTTACTAATCTATTCCTAACTCTGATATTGGGATTGTGCTTCGACAACTGGTTGTCATCTCTGGTCGCAATCATTTAGTCGCTGACTTATATTTCTTGAGACTTTAGTTTATTTGAAGAGACGTAAATCTAAACATCTTGGAATGTAAAACAAAATTGTACAAAAAGAATCACTCTTCTTTTTATGTAACAGATTCTACATACAAATCAGTATTCAAATATATGATATTTTAGTGTTTTGTGGTTTTTATGTAATAGATTGAGTTACTCTTTCAATCATTTTAATTTTAGTACCAGTTGGTCGCGTTCAACCAATGATAAAACAAGAGGATTCAAGTCATTTACATTCCTCCAGTCGACCTGTATCATCACCTGTCAACTATGTACCACCAAGTCGAGAGTCTGTTGTCTGGGGATCAAATCCAAGTTTGTTTGTATTTACATCACCTTTCCCTCAGCAGTCAGTGAATTCTAATAATTCCATTCCTCAAAAGTTATGTCATCATTTCACTAATGATATATTTTCACATAATACTCAACCAATAGAATATATATCTAATCGTAGAAGTGTACGTAAAAATCCTCAGTTATCCATTACGAGAGATGATCAACATGTTGTACAATCGAATAATCAATTATCGGCTGCTCATGCGGCCGCTGCAGCCTACCATAATTTAATGTTTTTTCAGTTACAACAACAACAATTACAACAACAAACTCAACAACTTCAACATAGCCTGATGGCTGGAATTCCTACTGTCTGCCAAACTAATATGCCTGATCATTGTAATGAGACTTACCAGCATTCACAGAGAGTACTATCTAGTGGTTGGAATACTGGTTGTCGTGATTTTGCTGAGCATTCGTCGGGCGCTGTTTAATAATTTGAAAATTTCACTTCCTACATACACATGCGGAGCTAGAGTTGCATATGCGTTTATTGTCATTAAAACGAGTCATTTGTGGATACAGACATTTTTGTCCGGTATGTAGCTCTAAAGGGCAAGGTTCTTTTTCCATACTACCACACAATTATTGCTTCCATTCACGTAGTCATTATATATATATATATATATATATATATATATATCTACCTCTGTCTTATTAATTTTTTAGTCTGATTGGTTTTTTCCTATCTTGATCTTTATTTATATTTGTCTGGTGTTAGTTCGTATTGTTTAATCCTTGCACAGCATTCCCTTAAATTTGCTCATTCTAAACTACAGTAATTAGTTTGTGTGATCTTGTTTTCTCTATCTTTTTTTGCACATGTAAATTTAGAGTCAGAATTTTTATCTTATTTATGGATTATTTAGTCTGTCCTACTTGTATATATACATATTGGTTACTTAGTCTCAGATGAATAAATGTTGACTGTAAATGTTTAGTAATGGTACTTAATTTCCTTTTGTGTGTTTGTGAGCGGAAGTTTTCTCATTTCTACCATTTAATCTTGTAATCTTACATAATCTTTAACATTTCACAAAGACATGCATACGAATTATTTGTTCTAGTTTCAGTATATTGATTCACTTGTTACTATATCGCTAAATACTGTGATTTCCTATTTTTTTGGTGGGACGGATGGTGATTGTTTAACAATAATTATAGCCTTATTATTATCAATGTACTTTCCATCAATATTATGATTATAAATTATCGACCACAGCTGGTTAAATGTTGACTGTTAAGTAAAAGTTCGCAAAAATTGGTGTTTTGTTCATTCAATTTCAGTGCACTTCTATGTGGCTTTTGACAGGTATAGGTGATAAGGTTTGGTCAGATATAATAGTGTTAATAATGGAGTTCATTCGGTTTGATGAAATGTTTCATTGTGTTCTTGATCTTGAGACTTAATAAATTCACTTATTTATGAAAGTTTAGGAATAACTTTAAAGAACTGTTTATGTTCAGTTGAAATTAGTCTTTTTTTTCTAGAACGAGTTTTATCTTTATTTTAGTTTAGAATAAATGTGAAATTACTAAATCGTCATTTTACAAAGTTTGAATGAATCACGAGCAAAATACATACATTTTGGAAGCTCTTCATCTTTCAGTAATACCTTTATGTACTTTAATGATCATTTGTTACTTCTCTATGCAAATTAGTTTCTATTTGTTTGATTGAGTGCTATCGTCCGTCATGTTAAACTTCTCCAACTCGTGATATTTTATATACGATCTGAAGTATATACTAGATTAAAGTACAACATATTTCGAAATAAGTTCACTATGGTGTAATCGGAGACGAAGTTATATTGCTGACAGTTGATACCTGTAATATATCTCAGCATTCGTTTTTGAACTAATAGTCGTTATGAAGCACAGCTTTACAGTTTATGCTAGAAATCGATGCGAATCGACCATATTGCTGCACTGTTGCGGTTTCAGAAATAAGAATTATTATTCACTTGTACGGCTGAGAGTGAGGTGAGTCCACTCTCCCTCTCTAAATGCTGTCAAACGGCCACGAGTACGAAGCCACCACCAAAAAACTTCTCACTTCCGTCCCCTGGCGACAGTGTTTACAAAATTAGGAGGATGAAAAGCGATTATCTAGAGCTTAACCAAGGTTAGTGAGTACATAGCATTCAACTTAGGGAACCGGGAAAACCTGGTTACAAACAATGATGCACATGGGTTCCAGAATCGTGAGGGAGCAAATGGCGTATGAATATAATGTTTGTTATCAGCTACTATAGGACCGTGTGTCCTAACGTTGCTCCACTGCCTTGTGGATTAGACCTTTAGGTCTAAGGTCCGGGTAGTAGCCCCACAAGCAAACCACCTGTTTCGGTTTGAACACCCAAGGCAATGCTTTAGCCCACATAAAAATTCAATGGTTTGTGTGGCGCATGTATATTTTGGTGCCCCTTAGTGCCAATGATTAAAAAAATAATGGTAGACGTGTTGTTTTAGTCAGTTCTTATATTTTTCTTATCAAAACAAAGCGGGATTATAGGATGCAATCTTAGAAGTGGCCTGATTATTTGATATGCGGTCGTAATTTGCTTATCTGGGACAATATTTTGTCAAATCTACTTAAACCGTTTTATTTCATTGGTGTTAATTCTTTAAAGTTGGATGCCCACGATAATTAGGGTTAACGTGATAAGCCGATTATTGTGAAATATAGCCGTGAGTAGGTGACATTTAACTTCCAGTCCCATTTATCTCAGCTTCGGAGATTTATATATTGATCAAAAAATTCAACAGGTCCATCCTGCAACGTTATTAAGCATTTGGTGTTTATACCAATATTTACGAACGGTCTAAGCAGCGAAAATAACTAACATTTGGAAAACTGTCTAAAATAGCTGTAGAAATCGGAAATACATCATTTGAAGTTTTGTTACCCAAAATAAAGTTTCAATTCGTACAAAAAACCTAGTTTACTTATGTAATTAATATTTTAACCGAAGCATGTGAATGTAAAGATGGCTTGTTTTCAATGTTTTGATTGTTCATTAAATTCGTTGGATAGTCTATACTGATATTGTCGTTGAATTGGTGTTCGAATTTTATAAACTGGTTCATATAACCTAGTGTTGTGGTCTCAATTGTATTCATTATTTATCCTCTAAATTTCAAATAGCGGATTGTACACATTCATTGTTTTTATTTTAATTTGTTTTTTATGAACTTATATATATATATATATATATATATATATATATATATATATATCAAGAGAGAGAGATGCATCAACTAAACAATTGTTGTGCAATGCTTCTTAAGTTGATGGTTATAGCAGCTCACGTACAATTGATTTTGTTCACATCTAATTTAAACCCTTTTATTAACTTATTTAACGTTCAGAATCATTCGTACAATAACAACCTATCTGTACTATTGTACCTTTATTATGTGCGCTTGAGCATTTTTTACTGCCTACACATATATTCATTTTGCTAGCCTTACTATTAACCGCTCAATTGTTTCGATGATTCATTCATTTCACTATGTATATATATGTACACCTTAATCCTGTTTACTGTACTCGCTGATTCACACACTCGTTCATTGATTCGCTTGCTTTTTGGCACTACTGTTTCACACTTGCTTAACGTGCCTGTAATTTTGACGATCTGTGCGTGGTTCAATAATAAACGCAATCAACACTTCGTATTCGTAAGGATAATATCAAATATCGACCATCACGTGGTAATCCGTAATAGCTTGAAAGAATACCTATTTAAAAAAATAATTATTTCTTCAACACACATTGAGTTCTTGTTGTATATGTCTAACGTATGTTATTCAAGTAGATTATTTTATAATACTGAAGTGAACTACTGGAGATAAATAGAGACTTGTCAATTTCAAGCATTTTTATTCGTTTAGCTATGCTGCAAATATTTGTACCAGGGGCTTAATAGTCAAATTCTTGCAGGAATAACTGGAAGATCACTTGACAAGGGCGAAGAACGACCTGTTTACCGGCGACGGTCTAGCTTCTCGCTGATGGAAAGAATTGTTTGAAGTAACCACCTACAATGCCAAGGAGGTTCCAATATACAATGAGGATAAAGCTCTACAAACCTTGGTGGTTTTCGTTTGTCTCTAGTTAAAATGAAATTATACACCACTTATTTCCTAATATGATTCTAGGCCCAACTCAAATGGCCGTAGTGAACCGTTTGTTTGTGACAGTGACGTTTAGAAGTCTTTGCAGGAGTAAGATTCACTAATCAACCCTGCTCAGATATGGTTGACTGATAATTGATAAGATTTTATCAGCTTCGACCTTTGATCCCCTAGCTTCTCTCACTACAATCTGATAGACTGTTGAGAAAAATACATATTAAGCACACTAAGGGGTTAGATAATTGATCAGATTTATGAGGTATTTGAAGTTATCTCTAAGAGTAATATAAAAGCAGCATTTGACAGAATATAGAATCTGATCGAAACCATAGTAGTTGCTGAATGCATCATCTTTCAGTGGCTTATTTCACAGTAAATTTCACTGAGTTATTGTTTAGTTCTTACTATAAGCACGAACAAATTTATGCTAAAAGCCAGGGATATATATATATATATATATATATATATATATATATATATATATATATATATATATATGGTCAAAAGAACACTAAAAACAGCAGTTTTTATTCCTTTCCAATAACCATGAGCGGAGTAGGAAAAGCTTTCTTTTAACGAGCTTCTGTGCCAAGTGACAGTATATTGCTGATCCTGTAAGGTAGGTACAAAGCTATATGAAATAAGCAGATCAGAAATACTAGTAAACTAGTATGAAATACTGTCTTGGGTCCTTGAGAATATATCAAGTTTCCTCTTGAAGAACTAGGAAGTTGCGTGGAACACAGCCTGTAGTGAATCCCAAGATTTGTCTTGTGAGTAAAGGAAGGTATGCCTAAAGACCAGTTTGTTGTGTTCTATCTCCAATCTCTGGGTATCACGCATAACGTTTAGGACTGAGCCTAAATATAGTATACTATAGTTTCATCAATTCAAAAATAACCAGAACATAAAGTACATACCTAATTTAATTCATAATAGACTTTCCTATCGGACATACTGTTTTGGTGAGTTTGAATTTGGGGTTTTGATATTCTAATTGTTGCTTTCTAAGAATAGGTAAATAAGTACGAGGTTTTAGCTATCCGCTAGAAGTAGGTAAATGTCTCCCAATACCAATCGCTTTTCCGCAGTGGAATGAAAACTAAAGTTCTAGGTTACACTTGTAGACGGATCTTTCATATTATGCGAACTGTCTAGTATGGCTCACATTTCAAAAAGATATTTTCTTATCCAGTCAACTGGTTTTTACACTGAAAGTAATCAACTCTGTTGACCTCTATAATTTCGATTGCATGAAACACGTTTTGTATTAAACGAAACATTAAATTCTCTT